GTAGGGTAAAATCTATAAAAAAAAATCTGCCAAAGTTTTGGTCTAATCATTCATTTGAAATTTGTCAAAGTGATAAAATGCTAAACAATAATTACAATAGTTAAGTGATAAATAATTATAATTAAATTTGTGTATTATCATGGAAGAAAATATGGATTTCATGATCTGTGTATGTTTGTGGAAGTCGGTGACTAGATAGTTGATGAAGTTTTATAGAAATTAATATATATTATATGTTTTTTATGACATCATTTGTAGATAATCGTGAAGACGTGATCGATTATATACCAGGAGTTAAAGCAATAGACCCAAAAGACTTGATGTCATATCTTCAAGTAAGCGACAAAGACGTAGACACGGACACAGTTGTCTATAGAATATTATTCAAGGCCTTTAAAGACGTTAAGAGAGCCGATTTCGTGCTATGCAACACCGTACAAGAGCTCGAACCAGGCTCTCTCGGGGCTCTACAAGCCAAACAACCGGTTTACGCCATTGGTCCTGTTTTCTCAACCGAATCGGTTGTCCCCACGAGCCTATGGGCTGAATCAGACTGTACCGAGTGGCTCAAGGGGAGGCCCACCGGGTCGGTCCTCTACGTCTCGTTTGGTAGCTATGCACATGTTGGTAAAAAGGAGATCGTTGAGATAGCCCATGGGCTTTTGCTAAGTGGGCTTAGTTTCATTTGGGTTTTACGTCCGGATATCGTTGGATCCGACGTGCCAGATTTTCTTCCGGCCGGGTTCATGGACCAGGTCCAAGGTCGAAGCCTTGTGGTCCAGTGGTGTTGCCAGATGGCAGTGATCTCAAACCCGGCCATTGGAGGGTTTTTGACACATTGTGGATGGAATTCGATTCTAGAGAGTGTTTGGTGTGATTTACCGCTATTGTGTTATCCGCTTTTGACCGATCAGTTCACGAATAGAAAACTTGTGGTCGATGATTGGCGCATTGGGATTAATCTTTGCGAGAAGAAGATGACCACAAGGGACGAAGTCGCGGCGAATGTTAGACGGTTGATGGACGGAGATAGTTCAAGTGAGCTAAGAGAAAACGTTGAAAAGGTTAAAAGTCATCTAAAAAATGCTATTTCAACCACTGGATCTTCAGAGACAAATTTCAACTCGTTCATTGGTGAGGTCCGAGATAAAATAGAAGCTAAATTATGTAACCTAAATGGAATGGAAATAAGTGAGTCTAACTAAGCTATGTAATGGTTTTAAGTCATTCTCCATGTTGCATATGAATCCCATCAATAAATATGTCTAGATGGTAGTTATAAAATAAACTTGGTGGTAATTTAAAAGAAAACGAGTTAAACATTGTAAACAATACCCAATCTTTAAACCGATTCAATCCAATCTATTAAGCAGTAATACTCTTGCCGACCCAAAGGCCATTCACATTCTGGTGAAAATGAAAATGGAGTTTCGCTTATTCAACTCTGTTTCGCATAATCTTCACTTTCTTCTATGGTACTTGTTTATCAATTGAACCGCTCGAACAAGCAGAAGGGATATATAAATCCATGAGTACGCGTACGCCCAAATGTCTGTTTTGGTTCGTCTTACTTCAAAGATCGCATCTTTGGCGAAATCAGGTCGCATAACAAGCGCCCGTCAGTTGTTCGACGAAATGCCTGACCGAGATACCGTTGCGTGGAATACCATGTTGACAGGCTATTCTCATCTGGGTCTCCATCAGGAAGCTATATCTTTATTCACCCACTTGAGATTCTCTCACCCTAAGCCTGATGATTACTCTTTTACAGCAATCTTGAGCACTTGTGCGAGTGTACGGGATGTTATATTCGGAAGACAGATTCAGTGTCTAGTTATCAGGTCTGGGTACGGTGCTTCGTTACCGGTTAATAATTCGCTTGTTGACATGTACGGTAAGTGTTCTGATACTCTTAGCGCAAACAGAGTGTTTAGAGATATGTGCAATGATAGTAGAAATGAAGTAACTTGGTGCTCGCTTTTGTTTGCGTACATGAATGCTGCACAGTTTGAAGCCGCCTTCGATGTTTTTGTTGAAATGCCGAAAAGGGTTGCATTTGCTTGGAATATTATGATCTCAGGGCATGCCCAGTGTGGAAAGATTGAATCTTGTTTAAGGTTATTCAAAGAGATGTTGCAGAGTGAGTTCGAACCGGATTGTTATACGTTTAGTTGTCTGATGAATGCTTGTGCTGATTCATCACATCTTGTTTATGGACGGATGGTTCATGCTGTTATGGTGAAGAACGGGTGGGATTCTGCGGTTGAGGCGAAAAATTCGGTGTTAAGTTTCTATGCAAAAGTAGGCTGCAAAGATGATGCCATGAAAGAGCTCGATTCTATTGAATTCTTGACTCAGGTATCTTGGAATTCTGTTATAGACGCGTGTATGAGAATTGGAGAAACGGATAAAGCTCTTGAGGTTTTTCATCTAGCTCCTGAGAAAAATATCGTTACTTGGACTACTATGATTGCAGGATATGGTAGGAATGGAGATGGAGAGCGAGCACTGAGATTTTTTGTTGAAATGGTGAATTATGGGGTGGATTCCGATAATTTCGCATATGGTGCTGTTCTTCACGCGTGTTCAGGTTTAGCTCTTCTAGGACACGGCAAAATGATCCATGGTTGTCTGATCCATCACGGCTTTCAAGGTTATGCTTATGTTGGTAACGCCTTGGTTAATTTGTATGCCAAATGTGGAGATATTATCGAATCAAACCGTGCATTTGGTGATATAGCTAACAAAGATTTGGTATCTTGGAACACAATGCTTTTCGCATTTGGTGTGCACGGTTTAGCAGATCAAGCTCTAAAGCTCTATGATGAAAACATGATAGCGTCGGGGATTAAACCAGACAACGTGACATTCATTGGATTACTGACAACTTGCAGCCATTCAGGGCTTGTAGAGAAAGGATGCGCGATTTTCGAATCCATGGTTAAAGATTATGGAATACCATTGGAAGTAGATCATGTAACATGTATGATAGATATGTTTGGGAGAAGTGGACATCTAACAGAAGCAAAGGAGTTGGCTACAACTTACGCTAGTAATAATAGTTCATGGGAAGCTCTTTTGGGTGCTTGTTCAACACATTTGCACACAGAATTAGGCAGAGAAGTTGGCAAAGTTCTAAAGATAGCGGAACCAAGCGAAGAGATGAGTTTTGTTCTGTTGTCCAACTTGTACTGCTCGAGTGGACGGTGGAAGGAAGCAGAAGATGTGAGGCGAGAAATGGTTGAACGAGGCATGAAGAAAACTCCGGGATGTAGTTGGATCCAAGTAGGGAGCCAGGTTTCAGCTTTTGTAGTCGGGGACTGCTCACACCCGCGCTTTGAGGAGCTTTCTGCAGCTTTAAACTGCCTTCAACATGAAATGAGAAATCCAAAGACTTTCAGATCTTGAGTACTTAGTGACAGTGTTATAG